ATGTGTAAAACTAAGACTTCTGTTCTCTTGTCTTTGTGTATATATGTTTGTCAAAGTCTGTGCGTGAGAGGTAAATGTGACTGTTAACTGTTTCAAATCCAAAGGAAAAAGAATTTTAAATTCTGCTAGAAATTCTGCTTAAAATAAGCCACAAAAAGGAAATACCTCACTTTGTTTGTCTGGCCAACAAACAGAGTGAAGAAAAAAAAAATTGTGTTTGTTTGTTTGTTTTCCTCTTTCTCTCTGTGTACGCTCAAGAACAGCCTTAAGTTACTAGGAGGGATTGTTTTAAGTTTATCTGTTGGAAAAGTTTCACTTGCATTTACTGTATGTGTTTTATCTATCCTTTTCCTGAAAAATGTGTGTCTATCTACAAGAGCATTTTGAAGTTCAAGTCTGATTGTGTGGGGAAATAATTTTCTTAAGTTACTTTTCTTATCCTATCACTTACTGGTGAAACTACTATGAAGCTTTCCGAAACATAAGCATTTCTCAATCTCTAAAATGATGTGGTCTATTTTAGAATAAATGTTCTCCTACCTCTGGAAAGTTGCACACCTTAAAATATTAGGCTTTTAAAATTATTTGGAGTTTTCAGCATTCTCAAGCTGCCTAGCATTTTTTTTTCTCCTCTTCCTTTCAAGTTGCAAGTTCTTGTCCATAATATGTTGCAAATGGTCAAGTTCAAAGGTGAAACATTTCATTTTGTTGTTCCCCATTTGTCCATGTTTAATAACTGCAGTATTAATGACCTTTTCAAACTGCCTGCAAGCTACCCCCCTTCCAATTCTTTTCCTGTCCTTTGTTCTCCATACCTTTTGTCTTCCTCTCCTGGGAGAGTCCATCCAGAAAGGGGGGAGACCTTGTTCTTGTATCTTTCAGCCCTGAAACCCTCTCCCAAGCCTTTGGAAGCAGAACACACAGACCCAGATGCTGCCTCCATCCATTTGAGCCATGGAATTGAGTTTTGAATCCAGCCATCCACTAAAAAGCCACCATGCAGTCTAAGTTGAACATCTTCCCAAGTCCTACCATTTCCCCAGATGCCTGTGAGAGCTGCAGAAGGAAAGATTCCTGGTGCCATGTGAAGCCTCAGAAGAGAAAATAAGACTGTGGGGGGAGGGTGGAAACTCATTGTAAACTTTTCTTTCTTGCCCCATTTGTATTGTAACAAGGCAGTTGAATGTATTAATGGAGAGATGGCATTTAGGAATAGGTGGCAGAACAAGTACTGAACACCTTGGACTTCTATCTGGTGGGAGGGAAAATTGATCCAAAATGTTTGTATTGACTATTTTGTAAAAGTAGCTGCACATACATGCACACACACAGAGACACCATTCAGAATCACACTTGAGTCTATCCCCTCCACCTACCTTTAGTAAAGTTCCCCCCAGGTTGATTTTTGCTCTATTGCACCAAAGCTTTGTGGGACCAACTTCCAACAGATTCCAAGGGGGAGGGAACTAGGCCCCCTCAGGTGATTTACAATTCATATGCCCTGACTAAGGAAGCAATAGGAAAAATCCCAAACTTATGCCCTGAATATTTTGCACTGTTGAGATCAGATTGGGATTCCTAGAACTCATTATGTGCAATTTAAAGAAAATTTAATAGCCTGGCAGTTGGGCATTACAAACCTGGATGCACTGAATTAAGAGCTAAGGCAGGAAACAACCCTTGAAACTGGGCAGCCAGTGGTCATGTACTAAGGAGAACCATGGCTGTGAAGAATTTTGGGGGGTATGCAAACCTGACTGGAAGCTAAAGGTGACATCCAACATTTAAGAGAACTAGCACAAAACATTGGGCACAACCAGTCATCCTGGGACCTTTCCTGGCTCTTTTCATGGTTACCAGACTTCCATTGGTTGAAAATTCTTATTGGTAGTATAATCACAGTCATAATAGGTGGAGCCCTCCTTTGTTGCCTATGCCAATTAATTCCTTTAGGGTTAAAATGCCTAAAGGTCTGCACAACCCCCATCAGAAGCAAAGGACAGAGCAAGAAAACATCTCTCATGATGTGCCAAATTGATCACCACTACCGTATATATGAACCAGTTGGGCTAATCACTGATACTCCAGTGATAGCCCAAAATGGGGGAATTGATGAGAGTTGGACACCCCCTCCCCAGCCCAACTAAGAAATAACCTAGGAACACCCCAACTAAACTGGGTCAACAGCAGCCTGAAGCTAAATGGCAAACACTTGACACACACAATGAGGAACCAGTTAGCAACAATCAGGACACAACAATAAAGTAATTAACACTTTTCAGGCAGGATTAGCAAGGAAATTTAACCAACAATAGTCACTGACCAACAAATCAGAAAAGGCAGATTCAAACTCACCAATCAAAAATGACAAATTTGGAAACCACAAAAGGTATAAAACCTCTGTTTAAAAGATCATTCTATCTAGCTAGCCGGGGACTCGAGCTGAATTGTCACTCAACGCTGATCCCCGAAATTAAACCTCTTTCTGGTAGCTGGCTTCACGATCTATTTCTTCTGCGCCGCACTGTCAAGGGGAATCCCGGCTGGAAGGACCGAACGGGGGAGTTCCTCCCAACACTAGGATGTGACATTTTTCCTACAATTTGCAGTCCTTTCATATCCAAGAGCTTCTTAGGGGGGCAGAGATGGCCCAATATTGCTGCTGTTCTTCAAATGTTAATACGGCCGTCGCACTTCCATTCCAGATCCGTTTCTTTCAGGCCACTATTTTATTGTCTCCATTATGGATTCTGAGGTTCTTCATAACTTCTGCATATGGAGCACCAGACTGCATCACATGGTTTGGAAAAGGGGGCCACCAAGACTGTGAGTTTGACATGCCTGGCCTAGAAGCAGGTACTCACAGTGCTTCTACAATTCATTCTCATATATTTGTTCCAAGGCTGTGAGTAGCTGGTTGCAGTCAAATTATCAGCCTGGGACGAGGGTCCTAAGGGCTGGGGCACTGTTGCTGGATATATTGGTCCTTCAGTGGAGCCAATGCTCCTCTGCATTATGCTGTTAGATTTTGTAAGGCTGCTGCTGTCATTTTCAGCTTCTCCAATGCCTCTAAAAGAGTTTGCTCATGAGAAATCATTGGAGCAGGGCCTTTTCTACTTTACTACTTCATCCAAAAGGAGGGTTTTATATCTGCACTCCAAGGATATTCTGGATTCTATATTGCCTACAAATTGGAGCTGCAGAAAACTGGCTTTATGAACTCTTTGTTTTTCCTAGCTATTCCTTGAAAATATTCCTCTATGCTGGAATAAAGATTGGAGCCTGATATAAAGTCAGATAGCATGAGTTATTCTGAGGTGGACTCAGCCAAAATCTGTGGAGCTCCTTCTAGGACTGGCCTCCCCCTTCATGATATCCAGATCATCACCTCAACAAAGCATTAGATCATACCCCATCATTTACCTTTTATCTTTTTATGATTCTTGGTTGAGAGATGAGAACTGTTCTTGAAGAGCTGAGTACTCTGACATAGATCTAGTTCAGTATGTCCAAACTATGGGATGAAGGTCTGCATAGCAATTTCTGTATGTCTTCAACTTCTGATAAGGAATCACCCTGTAGTGCAGAGTAGTCCAGTTTGCTCTTCATATAATGCAACAACACCGCAGACCACCATTTTCCAGCATGAGATGAAAACAGAGTCTAGAGAAAAGAATTATAGTGAGAAATGAAGGGGGAGGATAAACCACATCACCCTTTCCTCATCATCTATCAATTCAAGCTTTTCCCCAAACATGCTTCTGTTTTTCTCCTGTAGAAAAAGTGGACAAAATGCATTCATCCTGAAATATAAAATGTGTATTTCTACTATATATTTATCTATTGACCTGATTTTTTTGAGTTTACATAAAACTTTGAACCACGTGCTAACTATATGTGTTAGGCTTATGGTGGCCACAGATGATTGGACCATTTGATACATTATATGAATGCAGCCTAAGTTTGGGTTGTGGAATTTTGTTGGATTCAGCATTATCTATAACAGGAGATTGATGAGACAGCCTGTGTCACAATCTTGAAGTTTAACACATCTTGTCACTTTTGACTCCAAAATGGAATTCTGCAGTCCATATATATTTTCCTGCCTTCTTCCCACTATTGCACGTACCAGGGAACCCAGTTAGGAATAGCCTTACTGTGGTTTAATCCTATTATCATATCCTGCTTCCCAGGTGATGGGGCTAATGACTCCTAGAGTTTGACTGGGGTGTGCAGATCTTTTCTTTTGTCTTCTTGATTGCTCTGGCTTCAATTCTCTGATGGTTTTACATCTGCATTTGTATGGGGCTAGCTCTTGCTTGGGGCAGAGAGATAGATTTGGGGCCAGGTTTGTTTTTAAAAAGTCCTTTTGAGGAAAAATATATTTTTCTGCCCTTTTTAATATTTCCTTCTCTGGGCTAACTTCCCTCACTACACTTTAAAAAGTACTGGCCTAGAGCCCTAGACTGTTCTGAAATAATACTTGGCACGAAGAAGGCGAGACCGGAAATGCAAATAACGTTTTGAGATTGACGTATTTATGACCCAAAGCCCAGAAATACAAGACAAAAAAACACAATTTTCTGTATATGGAGATTAAGCCCGCGAATACAAGACTTTCTATAGTCTAAGAAAGGGGTCAGCAACCTTGGTTCTTTTATGACTCGTGGACTTCAACTCCCAGCATGGCTCAGGAATTCTGGGAGTTGAAGTCCACGAGTCATAAAAGAGCCAAGGTTGCCTACCTCTGGTCTAACGCGCAAGGGGAGCAAAGACAGGCGCTCTAGAATCCTCCCAGAATTCCGGATTCCAAACCATCGCGATTCATCTTCGAAGAGCGCCTGCGCACCCCGGCGTACCCAAGCCCCCCCTCCCTTTCCAACCGCGTGGAGCCACTCTGATCACATGGTGAGGCGGCCCAGCGTAAAATCGCGGCTGCTGAGTCGCCCAACGGTAATCGACTCCTCTCGCGAGAATTGCGACTTCATATAGTTGGGAGGGGGGGCCAAACGGCGGGTTCTTTCCCAGAGGTCGCTGGTGTGTTCGGGGCGTTGGAGTCATCGTCCTCGAGTCTTTCCCCCCCCACCCTCCTTTTTATCTCGAATCTTCGGCAGCCGAGGCCGGTGCTTGAAAGCGCGCAAGCAGCATGGAGGACAGCGATATGGATAACATGGGCTCCCTGCGTCCGCAGACCTTCCTTTTCGGTAATAGATCGGCAGGCAGTGCTCTTCCTCCGCCGTCTCCCTTCTGCGCCCTCTTCCGCGGCAGGGCAGGGCCGGCCGGGGCGGGAAGGCTGCTTCGCTGGGCCTTCGCACGTGGCCGGGGTTTGGTGGGCGGAGGCGGCCGCTTTCGCCGGGAGCAAACGGCGTGCGGGCCGGGGAGAAATGCTGAATTTTCGCGGGCCACCGCTTTGGCCCGACCCCTCCCCCTGAAGTGCTGCTGCTGCTGCTTTCCTCGCCACGTGGTCGACGTAGGCCTCTTTTCTCTGCGGTTTTATCGCAGCGCCTTTTCCATTTTTATTTTTTTAAACGATGCATTTGGTTTTTGTTAATGCGACACGCCAAGCCATGGTTTGCTGGCTGAATTCCATTTTATGAGCCCAGCTTTTGTGCAAATCCGTACAGGGTTTATTAAAACCAGATAGTGGCGCAGTAGGAGAATTTACTCGCATCGATCGTGCCTCTGATACGGTCGTTTGAAACAAAAGCTTTGACCCTGCCGAAAAAAAATTGGCCCAAGGAGCGATTGACTGGGGAATAGCAAGAAATGGTCTCGCCGCTGCCAGTATTGTATTGGGAACAGGGCAGGGAAAGAAAGATGGGTGGCCATGTGCTTCCGTAGGTAGGGCGTGATGCATCTTGCAAACGGTAGATGGCAACGTCGTTTTTATGGCCTACAGGCAGAATAAGAAACTGCTACCTGAATAACGGCTGCTACCTGAAAATTCTCAAAACGGTTGTACTAAATAACTTGGCATTACGCACGATTAATTCCCCCATTTCTGGCATTTGTGGCCATGGCCCCAGGCTTGGGGAAACATTTCTGTAAAACACTTTTGTATGAGGTAGATGTAATTATATAAGTGTTGTATTTTGGTCTGAAATGGAATTGCATTTCCTTTTGAATAATTAAATGGTCACAACGTGTTTCTGCAGGCTGTGAACTGAAGGGAGATAAGCCATACCACTTTAAGGTGAACGATGAAGAAAACGAACATCAACTTTCTCTAAGAACAGTAGGTTGTTTTTTTTTCCCCTTAGAAATTTCTCAGTTGTGAATCATAAGACATATTTGACACTTACAGACTATAACTGCTATTTGGACATACTTTGTGGTTCCTTAAAATGCTCTTAATTGTGCAAAGTATCTTCAGGTGTGCATAATCGGCAATTAGTTGCTGAATATGCAAGCTAGTTATGGTAGCATGTGCCCAGTTGATATATACTGCTCAAAAAAATAAAGGGAACACAAACGTATAGGATCCTATATGTTTGTGTTCCCTTTATTTTTTTGAGCAGTATATTTGATTCTGGATAAATAATGAAGCTACATTTTTTCCCCACTTGTGATTACTGTAGAAGGTACTTGAGAGGTAAAGGAATCAACATCTCAAACATTGTATTTTGTAATGCAGGTTAGTTTAGGAGTTGGTGCTAAAGATGACTTGCATGTTGTTGAAGCAGAAGCATTGGACTATGAAGGCAACCAGATAAAAGTGACACTGGCATCCTTGAAGATGTCGGTTCAGCCTACGGTAAGAACATTTCTTGTTTAGTAAAATGAGTACCGTATATGCCGGCGTACAAGGCAACCCGGCGTATAAGACAACCCCCGTCTTTATCGCCAGGCCGCATTCCTAGAACATCGTCTTATACACCGGAAACTACCAGTATTTACGGCGTATAAGATGACCTCGGTCTTTGGCGCCGATTTCAGCGCTCGCGGAAGTCGCCTTATACGCCAGCATTTACGGTAACAAGAATTACAAACATGGTAAATTGCCGTTTTTGGCACTGGTTCCACTCTTACTACTATCGGAACTTTGGATATCAAAATATGAGTATCGTTGTACGTACTTAATTGATTTTTTAATAGCTATACAAATATTTACATCAGTGGTTCTCAACCTTTCTAATACCGTGACCCCATAATACAGTTCCCCATGTTGTGGTGACCCCCAAGTGGGTGTGGCCATCAATAAGAGGGAGTAGGACAGCTAGGGAAAAAGGGAAAAAATGGCGGACAGTGTGGTTTGGCGACCCCCGTGAAATGGTCATTCGACCCCAAATGGGGTCCCGACCCACAGGTTGAGAACCACTGATTTACATAATAAAAATTCACAGTTTTGTTTACAAACCAGCTAATAGAATGCAGAAACCATTAAAATATCTGATTTTTTAAAGCATTTGTGGATCCTAGAAGAAAATTCCTAATCTTACTGTTTAACTGCTCCCCAATCTGATTGTTTGTTACTGCAATCACTTTTCCCACTGAGATCATATAGGTCACAGCTTCAATTGAGGAAGGAAGTTGGATATTTACCTTCCTCCTTTGGTTATGTCAACTGATTTGCTTTCCCTTTAGCGTTATCAACTGGATTCACTGTATAAAACCACCCTTGCCAGTTATCCTAGTTTGGAGGATTATGTGTGCCTGCTATTCCACAAACAAGAGGACAAATAAGACTTGGGGATGGAAGGAAACCTCTCATGTTAGTACATAGTAGGCTGTCTTGAAATGTACCCCAAAAGTTATGCAAGTAATTACAGGCCTGCATCTATTTAACTTTTTCCCAGATTCAAAGTCTGTGCTCAAAAGATACGGATTTTTTAAGGATGTAGAAAGCACTTATTGTACCATGAGTGCTACATTATTTTATTTATATTTTATTTCTGAAAATGAATATGCTTTTTAGATTCCTATAAATTGATAACGCTGAGAATGCAGTTTTTCTTTTAAAAAAACTAACTGGCCTTTTAATAGAGAAGGGTCTCACTTAATAGACAATCACTTTCAACACATGTTAAAAAGAATTTTTCACCTGCTTTGACTCAACATTTCACATGTGATTACAATGCTTAGTGTTGCAACCTTTGGTAACAAGATGGGGTATTTATTAAAGGAGAATATGAACACAACCCTTACTGGGACTCCTTCCCCTAATTTTTACCATGCTTACTATTTTCATTCTCTGGGTTAGAGCATCTCCCTGAGAAACTAAAGAAGTCTCTTCCATGATCCCAATTCTTCACTAAGGCTTTGTTTTAATGACTTAAGGTTGTGAGGCAGGAATTTTCCACATAAGAATTGTTACTCGTTTGTTTATTCAGCTGCACCTCACATTTCTCTAGTATCTTTTTCACCTGATCCTCCTTGGAATGCATATGTGATATGCTTGCCATTGGAGAATATCTTCTTAAGCATTGTATGCCTTTGTCTTAATGAGCTGATTCTAGCCTTTTTTTTTTTTTAGAAAGATCTTTTAAATTTTGTCAGGCTGGTCAACTACCAAGCTTAGCCATAATTCATAGACTACAACTTGAAACTCTGGGGAGCACAAGCAAAACATTGTGTATAGTGGCACAATCATTAGAATATTACATACCTGTGTGGAGAAGAAGTCATACCAATAAAATTGATCTTCACCTTAATGACACAATGAGAATATCCCAAACCCTGAAATCCACATAGCTCTCATGGCTCCATGTTCTTTCTAACATTGCCCCTCCTGATCTCAGGCGACAACAGACTGTCAGGAGTGGAATACTGATACATAAAATATTAGATTCTCTGTCTCTCACCATTAAAGTCTAGGAAACCAATTTGTGATGACATACAGCAATCTTACCATCTACATAAAGAATGGCCATTAAAATGGGTGACTTTTAAGAACCATAACCTAACAGACCACACATATCCAATAAAACCACTCCCAGGAATGCAGTTGCCCTAAAAATATGGAGTCGCCTGAATAGAATCAGAACAGGCTAATCTGGAACAAGGCAGAGCTCTTTCATTGGAGAATGGCTGAGAGCCAGCAATGCAATAATACATACAATAATCTCAGGAAATTTCAAGGCACCTAGGATGATCTCATTTCAATCACATTAGAAGCAGTTAGACGATTTTCATTGTGACTATATGATGTATTATGGTAATTTTATTATGGCTTTATCTTAATATTTTATCTTGCATATTGTATTGTCCACATGCCATATATGCATGCATACATACATACATACATATATATTTGCTGATTTTTTATTTAACTTACATTGGTACATCACTGATTGCATAACCTCTGTAGATGCCATACACTAAATAGATTACAACTCCTGCATCAAAGTTAGTAATGCAGAAGTAATTTCAGTTCTTTCTAGTTTACATTGGAAATGTTACTTTGTTACAATCAAATCTCTGTTGCTAAGGATATTGGATTCCAATATTTTGCGGAATGGGTAGCTTGATGTTAGGCAAGCAACAGGAAGACACAGGTTTTAATTCATCCTTGGTAAGTCCTGTAAGGAAAGTAATTCAAATGCTGTTTTTAAGCAGGAATAACTAACTATAGAAGCTATAGCTTTAAAATTATTTTCTTCAGCAGAGCCGGTAAACAAAGTCAGATTCTTCTCATGCCAATAAATATTGATGAGTATCTTTTTTATCTAATGAACAAGTACATAGCAGAGTTACATATCTGGCAAGCTCTACCACCAGTGCTCAGCAAATGAAGGCAGTGTAGTATTGATACTAAGCATAGAGTTTGAATCCTCAAGATGTAAGCACTATCCATATCAAGCTCAATTAAAGCAACATATGCTTTGCAGTTCACAAAATATGATTGGGAAGACTTACATAAATATACAAAGAACTGGGCAGAAATATATATTTGCGTTTAAGGTACTAAAAGTCTAGCAAAATTAGGTCCTTCATGTCATGAATTGGAAGTGATTGATAATTGGTTCTCTATATCCCCTTGAGTTCTAGTTATTGAAAGGCAAACAATTATGGGCGCTATTCATAGGTTTTGATTGAGTTGTGGCATTTGAGTAGTTTAGTATGACTATACACTTAAATGACTGCTGTTCTGCATTTTCCTGTTCTGTCAGTACTGGGTGAAAGAGCCAGGTTTGGAAAAAGCTTGAAACTGTTTGGAAAAAAAAAACACACCTCACATTTTTACAACCCTGTAATTTGACTTGAAAGGATCTTTTATGGCAAACTTGTTTTACTCCAGTTTGTGTTATTTTTTTTTCCAATGTACTTGGTTTGAATAGTGCAATACAGATATTTTTGAGTACATTTTTGTATTTAAAATGAAACTGTTAGGTAATACATGCAGCCTAAGGAACAAAAGCTTGGGGACCAGGTATCATATTCTAAAGTAAGGATGCTGATACCAAGAATACCATTCTCTGGATTTCAACCTTCTGGTAATTAGATAGGAGAGCCCCTAGAGCACCCTTCCCTGCTAGGCCATATAGGGTGGGAAGATGCAACCTGGAGAAAACAATATCAAAGGAACAAATCTGTGGAGTAAGTAATCCCCAGCACCTTGAATTTTGCCCAGAACCTTACTGGTAGCTCATGAAATACATACGTTATTCTCTGAACTGGCTAGGGTGCCTAATAGTAGGTAGCTGCATTTTGGGTCTCGGCACCCTCAAGGGCAAGTATCCGGAGTTAGTGTGTTTTACATTTCTTTCCGTTTTTTGGGAAAAATATCCCTTTTTGTCTTTCCCTAGTTAGCTAGCTTAATCTTTGAGCAAAGGATCCCTTTTTGGATTGCAGTCTTTAGCTTTATTTGAAAACAATAGCATTCTCTTTCAGCCTGGTTTGGTTTGAGTTCTAGTTAATGATGTCTCTGCCTGTCACGGTTTTGTTTTTGTTCTTTTCCATTTCAGCAGAACTTTCTATTTTTCTTTTAAGGTTTCATTAGGTGGCTTTGAAATTACACCTCCAGTAATTCTGAGATTGAAAAGTGGTTTGGGGCCAGTTTATGTCAGTGGACAACACCTTGTAGGTATGAACTTTTATAATCTGTGTTTTAATTTTGGGTTGTTACTTCCATTCAGTTTGCTAAAGTAAATTTAGTTACGCTTTTGTCTTTGTAGTTGGAAAATATTGTCTGGTTTACTCTGTCTTCTGTAATAGCTTTAGAGGAAGAACCAGAATCTGAAGATGAAGAGGATAAACTACAGCAAAATATGGCAAAAAGACCTGCAGGTGTGACTTTAACTAAAGTTCCCTTGGTAAGCATCTAACGGAATGTGTTTTTTTGACCTGCAGGATATTAGGAATACAGGTAGTCCTTGACATAACTATAATTGAGCCCAAAATTTCTGTTAAGTGACATATCTATTAAGTGTATTTTATCCCATTTTATGACCTTTCTTGCCACAGTTAAATTAACATGGTTGTTAAGTGAATCTGGCTTCCTAATTGACATTGTCAGAGTTGTAAAAGGCAATCACATGACCCCAGGACACTGCACCATCATAAACATGAGTCAGTTGTCAAGCATCTGAATGTAAATCACATGACCATGGAGATGCTGCAGTGAAAAAACTATTGTAAGTTGAGGATTATCTGTATGCCTGTGCTGTAAATTTACCCACAAATTTAGTTCGTAGAAGAAAATACTTTTTGCGAATCAACCTTATGAATAAAACTGAATTTTCTGAATACAAGTGCTTCTAGTAATATGAAATGTGAAAGAAACAGATTAACGATTTTTGTAATTTGATTGACATCCTGAATAGTTTTTAATTTATTTTTATTCATAAAATTAGTATTGAAGATGGTATGCGTGTTCCCCTAAATTACATTTGTTCTTTCAAAGAAAAAAGCAAGGCTGGCAGGCAAGGATGATGACGATGAAGATGATGATGACGATGACGATGAAGAAGAAGAGTATGTTGCATTTCAGTAAACTGTTGTGTTTAAATAAATAGCCTGGGCGGGAAATATGTTTTGGGTATATATTTTAGAGACTATAATTTTTTTAAATAGTGCCTCTGTTACATACCTGAATTTTATCTTTGGTTAAATAATGGGTGGAAGTATGACTTTATCAGAGAGTCTAACTTTTAATGTACTTAACATTAAGGAAATCGTCACACAACTAGGCCTTTTGTGAAACTTCCATTAGACTAGGATACTACATTCTTTTGTTCCTATTAATTTGTTTTTCTTTAGCTTGTTCCAGTAGGACCATCTGTTGGGATAGGGGTCAAAGAAGTCAAGATGGTGGGCAAAGCCATGAGATCAAGAGTTGCTACTCTTAATACACACAAAGAAAAGGGACAGCTGTATCTTAGCTCCCTCACTTACCCCCTACTTGATCCAATGTAAAATTGGTTACAGAATATCAAATTTATTAGATAATAGGCTTTAGGAATTTACATGAACTGAATTTTGATTGTAGTGATGATGAAGACGAGGACGAAGATGATGAAGATAAGACTCCACAGAAAAAAGTAAGTTATTTTTGCTCAAAGTGCTTCATTCTGAGATGAAAGTAGACTTACGATATACATAACAGATTGAGTTTAAAGGATGCAAAGGAGATGAATGTTTCCTGTGTTGAATATTTTTATTTTTTATTTTAAAAACATTTTGGGTGGACAGCCTGCATCATTGCAGTCTCAACATTTTATGCACTTTGTTGCTTCTAACTCCGAAATTGGGATTCTGTAGTCCATATGCAAAGCATTATTTTCCTGTCTTCTCCCTGCTATTCTCTGTACCAGTGGACCCAGTTAAGAGTAGCTTTTTTGTCTCCTCTTTTCCCAGAAAATACATTTGCTTTTTCTATTTTATGCCTTCCCACATTACATTGCTTACTGAATGGTAAGGTACTACTCTGAATAGATTCCAGCAAACTTACGGAAGTCAATATTGATACCATTTCAGCTGGCACAGTGGGATATTTCTTTTATCTTTTTCCTATATGCTTGACTTTCTGTGAAGAAAAACTGCACCTGGCTGCACTCAAAAAGAGGTTAAAAAAGATGTGGGCTGGAAGAACAATTTGAATTGTAAGGAAGAAAGAGGAAAGTGTTTCTCTTGTCAGGTCTTAAAAGATTTTCTTTTAAGGATCAGACAGAAACACCTTCCTATTTCTATTACAAGTTGAAAAGTGAAAAAGGATGGCAACTGAGCTGTTTCAGGTTGCTTTTGTTTAAAGAAGTGCCTGGAATAAATTCTAAAAGAATGTTTTCGAGTTAAGAAATGTAAAGTAAATTTTCCTGCATTTGGTTCAATTAATAGTTCATTACAGAGTGAAATAATTATAAATGTTTCTGGAGGCAGCATGACTAGGTGGATCTGTGAACAGTGAACATGGACAATAGCATAGGCTGTTGTAAGTTGTAGTGCAAAATGCATGGTAAATAATAGTTGGTTTATTCTCTTTCTTGAGTGTCTATATTAAAATGAGGCTGCTAACATTTGTTCTTTTAGCCTGCCAGAGATTCTTTTGTGAAGAAAACACCAAAATCAAAACAGAATGGAAAAGATTCTAAATTGGCAACACCAAAGTTGACAACATCCAAATTGAAAGTGAGTATATAGATTAATTTTCATCATTGGCTATTATAAATTAGGAAAATTGGAAGTTGTGCTAATCTAGGTTTCTAATATCTGATTGAATTATAATACTAGTATATGATAGGAGTTAAAATAATAATTTGTATGTATTGATGAATTGCCAAGTGGATGGTTACACAGCTTTTTCATGCAAACCTTTGAGGGATTAATCTATAGTGCAGAGACTTTTAAGTTACACCCTAAACCAGGGGTCCCGAACCTCGGCCATGGGCCAGTACTGGGCTGCATAAGCAGTAGGCGAATGAGCAAAGCTTTATCTGGCATGTGTGGGATCTAGGTTGCAAATGAAACCATTCCTCACCTCCCAGCCCAGTCCATGGAAAAATTGTCTTCCATAAAATTGGTCCATGGTGCCAGAAAGGTTGGGGACCGCTGCCCTAAATGTTCATTCTGAGGCAAAAAAGATACCCCTTCAGAACAAATGTTATTAGTTGTAAACTACTTAGTATTTGATAAATGCCTCTCATCCCTCCACAGGGAAAACATCTTAAAAAAACAACAACAGAATGCTCAAGAGATTCTCTCCCTGTCAGTTGTCACAAAATAAAAGATAATAATTGGAAGAGGTACAGGTAGACCTTGCTTAATAACTGCCGTGTTTTACCAACTGTTCAAAACTTATAATGGTGCTGAAAAGGAGACTATGACTGATTCTCACAGCATCCCTAAAGTCACATGATCACCATTTGCATACTTTGTAGCTGGTTTCCGACAAGCAGAGTCAGTGAAGAAGCTAGCAGTAAAATCACATGTCATAGTCATGTGATGTCTTGCTTAATGACTGGGTGTTTTGCTTAGTGATGGTTTAGTGTGGTTAAATGACAATGGAAGAGATGCAAATCTGGCATGGCCACGTGTTTTGCTTAACCATCATGTTGCTTAGCATCAGTTGCCAATCCCAATTGTGATAATTAATGAACTGGCTGAAACAGCACAGAAGTTCGAATAAATGAAAGTAAAATGAGGTGCAAAGTCAAAGAGTTCTGAGTGTCTGTATCCTTGTACAATCATCTGCAGTCTTGGCTCCCAAAGAATGAACACATCATCCATCATCCTTGCAGAAGTCAGTGGAAGAAGCAATATATTCTATACTGTGGATAAAATAACCAGTGAAAAAGTGACAATGACAAATGCTAAATAGTATTGGATATTATTTGTGATGAATTTTTTACATCCATCTACTAAAGCCAAGTTAAAAAAAATTTAAAGACATGTTTACAGACATAAAAGAAACATTTACTGGAAAGTTAGAAGTATGTACTTGAAATGTCTTTAAAAAAAATACATTCCATTATGTAAAACTACTGAAGTTAAGTAAGCATTGCTCGCTGATATTTGACCAGATAGCATAGTGGATCAAGATTTTTTCCTTCCTATTTTTCATATGCCTGGTTTTCCCTTCCTCATTAATATAACCTGAGGTTTACATTTAGGTACCATAATAGAACCTGGGCTTCAGTCATAATCTCATCAATAGAATATAGTTATCTATTGTTAATCATCACTTTTCTTGTTCTGTTGTTGAGGGATTTTAATCCTAGTTGGTATGTTTCAGGTACAAGAATCCCCAAAAGAAAAGGCACCAGTGACTCCCAAATCACCAAAGCCTGTAAAATCACCAAAACAATTCTCTATAGAGGAGATAAAAGCAAAAATGCAGACAATTATGGAAAAGGTAATTTTATTACACTGGATAGCTGTGGCCACTGAGATAAAGAATATGTGTGTGTTTTAATGTAAAAAACTTGGTTTTTCAAGTGGTGAACATACAAGTCTTATGCTTTTAGTTTTTGTATTTTTATAGTTTTTCCTTTGTGCGTTCTTCAAGGCACGTAGCATTAATTGTTGTTTGGTGGAAGAATTAGATTTTCCCTCCTGCCAATTGTAATTTTTACTCACAGTCTCCATTTAATGTATTTTACCATGTGAATTGCAATTTTATGTGTCTTTGTTGACAATTCCAAGATTTCTCTAGGGCATTTCATGTGAATCAGTTCTATCTTAAATTAACTTATTTGTAGCGTGAACTATAGATTTTGTAGTTCATTGTTTTAATGTTGTATTTGTCTGTTTCTCTCAATAGGGAAGTAATCTTCCTAAGTTAGAAGCCAAGTTTGCAAATTATATTAAGAGTTGTTACAAGGCAGAAGACCCGAAGGTAATGGAATTATGTCTTGATAAAATCACTTAAATTAACAGAATTGTGTTATTTCTTCCAGTCATTACAAGAAAAACCAGAATTGGATGTTTTTCTGATGGTGATTATGGAGAATGTTAACATTTTTCTGTGTTCAACGGGTGGCCATTGAGCCCTTTCACTAACAATAAGGTGCTTCGATGCCATTTTTGACCAAATAAAATGCTTTTGCATTGAGCATTGCCTGATGTATTTGCCTGTCCTTTAGTTCCTATTTCTAGATCAAAACTATTTTGTAGCTTTAAGCTCCCCCCCCCCCCCCCAACGTCAAACAGCATGTGAGAAAACATAGTGGTGATATTAGTGTCAGGAACAAATTGGTTGGGTTAGAGCTGTAAATCTTAAATTTTCTGATCCAAATTTCTGAAAGAATGTTTTCCTTTCCCCCAGCAATTCAGTCCTGTTAAGAGAATTTGTGATGAAGAATAAAATTGTGGTTGCTTAAAAGGGCCTTTACTATGCTTTGTAAAATGTAAATGGGAAAATACATTGAATAATTTTAATCATTGTGATCTGAGTGGGGCATTTAGTAAATGTTTTTAAATTTGGTACACCTGAAATTCCTGCATGTGCATCTTATTTTAAACCTGGAACTGTTGTATTCCGTACCCATAAATATTTTTGGAGGCATTATATCCATTAAATAATTTGTTTATTCACAAATTTTATGATGTTGTAAGGTTACAAATACAGCATATGACTTAGGTAAAGCTAACTTCCTTGTTGTATTTCTAGGTGATTCAAGAGCTCTGGCAGTGGAGGCAGTCTTTGTAAGCAAGAAGTCAAATGGTTCCTTTTTAAATGATGATCCTATGTGTTTAACCATTAATACCTGACTGAAGCTTTCTCTCCAGAGTCTGATTAATATCGTCCATATTATTTTGGCAAGAATGTATGGTCCACAATGCCTGTTCAGTTTTTTAATACCAAGATTCCATCCTTTTCATTTAAAATATGTATGGAACATTTTGATAATGCATAGTAGTGGTGATCAGGGAAGGGGAAGTCTAAATGTAAATGTGAAAATAAAAATTTAGTATTTTAAGTCTTTTTGCTGCTGCTTTGTTATGGGAAGAGAACAATCCTGTAAGAATTGCCCCACAGTCACACAAACTGGATCACTTACATTTGCCCAAGGACCTGTGTATGCTCTGCAGTTTCTTGCAGATGCTCACTTTTCCAGCAACCCATTCAGATAGTAATGCTTTTCAGAATGTATAATTTTTTTTTTTGCAAATTATGGCAGTGCACACAACACATATTAAGTTAGATTGTGTTCCTACACCACTGATCTGAGCTACTTTTTTTAATCTTTTGGATGTCACTTGCATGCATTTTTTCCCCTTTGGTTTGCCCTACAGTCAGTTCTGTCTGGCCTCACATTAGGGACGTGCATAAAACAGAATATTTAGTTTTCACATTTTTGAACTATCCATCTCCCTCAGAGGGAGTCTTGGTGTAAACATGCTTTGTTCAGTGCATAAAAATGAATGAATGTTCCTTGGACATTGGTTGAAACATTCTAGGCAAATAATTATCTTCGGAAGATGAAATCTGGATCATTTTAAGTTTTCCTGGTTTGGTCTGAGACAAATCCAGAGGAGCCATTAGGGCCAAAAAGATAAAGACCGTTTCTTCTTCCCCCCATCACAACTGTACTGGCTTGGTTGCTGATCTTTCTGTGTTCACCTAATAACAGTGATGGCGAATCTTTTAGAGACTGCCCAAACTGCAACCCAAAACCCACTTATGCATTGTCAAGTGCCCGGTGGGTGTGGCCACTGGGTGGGCGTGGCTGCGGTGGTAATGGCAGACAGACTAAAAAGTTCAATCAATTTCAACTTTGCAAAATCTTTTTTTTTCCCTGCGAGAAGTTGAAATTGACTGAACCTTTTTTTTGCACACGGCGGCGGAGGCCTAAAGTGAAAAGGTTTTATAAAACCCAGCTGAAGGCCTAGGACTGGGGCGACGGCTCGCATGCCCACAGAGAGGGCTCTGAGTGCTGCCTCTGGCACCCGTGCCATAGGTTTGCCACCACTGACCTAATAGGACCCTCAGCTGTGCCCGCCCAGCAAGCTCCTAATCCAGCCTCAGCCCATGCAGTGCCAACTTTCTCTTGCTACTTCATCCTTAGAAATTCTGGGGGACGGAGCTAGTCAGTCTGAAACCAGCTTGCCTTATAAGATGGTAGTTGGGGGAGCGATGGGAACCAGGAACTTGCAGTGCACCAAACAATCTTGTACGCCTGAATAATAAGGATAAAAGTGCTGGAGCTTGTGTTTCAGGTCCGTGTATAGGCAATGAATGTGTGATTTAAGGTTTGCAACCATCTCAGTACTGAAGGGCGTGTTAAATGTTTTGCATAGCTCTACTTCATAAGTTTGTGTCACAGCTGTTTCATTGGCTTATGAGAAAAATGCTTAAAGAAGCCAAACAAGATTGATGCAACAAAGAGCTTTTATTTTCTTTGTTCTACATATACAAACCATGTTCTACATATACAAACCATAGTTATCACCGTGCCTCTTGCTCAAGAACTGCAAAAGAGTCTGGACCAAATCAAGGCCACACATTTTATGTTGGATTTATTAGATAATAGAAAGCAAAAGGGATATCAATATAACCCCTGTCCTGGAATGCTTTTGATAAAACTATTGGAATAATATTCTACTTTTTATACTGGTGGAACCCTATCCTTTTAGGTAATGCATTTGCTCTGAGGCACCAAAGATCCCATATTCACAGTATAGGTCAACAGCCACACTCAAATCACTTTCAACTGAACACTGAGGCGCCACCAGTTCTTTAGATGCATGGAGACCCAGTAAATTTAAAATAACAGCAAAACTTTGCTGGTTATAATTTATATTTGCTCTTTCTCACATGCACACACATACTCATCCACATCCACCTCAACTAGGCTAGTAGGTACTATTATTTAGCATATGTTAAGGAAATCTACATATGCTGGACACAATACAATCCTGACAGCCTAGAACTCTAGTTCATTCTATTACTTGCCTATCCTTAGTGCACCACAGAGGGTGAACCAGCTTTACACCAGCTGACTAGTGGTGCTTAGGTTGATGGCTCTTCCGGGACTCTGGCCTCGGCTCACCCCGGCTCATGTCACAATGCCTTGGGTCTAGGCCAGAGTCAGCTACTCTGCACACAAACACAGCTAGGCTTTTTCCACTAAAGTAGTACCCATTTATCTACTTGCAACACTGCATGTTTTCAAACTGCTGCATGGGCAGGAGCTAGGGATTGAGCGACAGGTGCTCATTGCATCTCACAGAGCCGGGCTCAAGCTGCCAGAGTACAGACCATTTCTGGCCGGCAGTTCCAGTATCATTAAGCTTCTATGCCACTGGATCCCCAGCTAGTAGGCACTAGGCAGAGGGACGGAAGCCACCAAGTCTGGATCCAAAGACTCAAAATGTGAGTGGGCTTCAGGGCCCCTCTTATTCCCCAAAGTCCTTACTTTATTGATCCTCAAGTCTGGCAGCTACTATTGCTTTGTTGATTTTCAAGTCTGGTAGCTGTGGATGGGATTTGGGGAGGGATTTTCTATGTCTTAGGCCCAACTTTTGTCTAGTTTAGGAGGCATTTTTTCTTTGTTTTCTTAATGACTTAGTTCCTTCTTATCTATCTCCCTTATCTTTCTCCCAAAAAGGTCTTTCAGATTCTTGGTTTTTGTCTACCCTGTTTACGTGCCTGCTTCATTTTAGGTATGGCAGCTTCAGGCTAGTCTTTCATGTCCACTATACAGCTCGAGACTATGCTGTCTCTTATAGGCTTCCCTAGGCAGCATCTCTTTGTCTGGTCTTCCAAAGTCATTCCCACATACCATTGCATGGTTAAACAACTAAATAGCAATGGAGAAGTAAACAACCCTTGTGAGTGCAATATTGATCGAAAAATTAAATGTTGAAAAGTGAATGTAGCTCAGGGCACGGTTGGATGTAGGCTTGAAATGTCTTGGGGGGGAAAAAAAGTAAGAAGCATTCCTAGAGCAACCAGATTGGTATGGTCTGGAAGAAAAACAAATTGTCCATACCAAATTGTTATCCTAATTAAAGCAAGGGGTCACAGTTGTTAGCACATTTTTGTTTTGGATATGTGATTAGATAAATAGATACCACTTTGGTGGGAAGATAACAGTGCTCTATGTTTCACTGCATATTCCGCACTGCAGTGTGATGTCATGCTGGCCACATGACTGCAGAAATATCTTCGGGCAGCACTAGTTCACATTTACAAATGGAAATGAGCACCGCTTCCTACAGTCAGTTATGACTAGCAGTGTAAAATCCACAGGGACTCCTTTACCTTTATATGTTACTTTGAGCGATGAACATATTTGCACTACTGGTTTCCTAAATAAAACCGGGACAAAGTTTTTAAAGGACAAGATGTGAGTCTTTCAGTAAACGGAAAGCTTCTTTTTCTTCATTAACTTAGTTGAAGTTGATCTCATACTCATCAATCGGTGCTGCTAAGCAAATTAATACTGCCTGTAACATAAATGTAATTTCTCAAGAGAGCGATGCTAATTTAAAATTCAACCTCTTTCATGTCAAGTTACCACACAGAAAGGAACAGCACTAGAAATTAAAACTTCATAAGAAATAGGCAGTCAAAAGTATCACAATTAATATGAGATTCTTGTTGAAATTATTCTTGTATGAAATTGCCCTCTGCAATTCCTTGTTTTATCCAGAATAGAAGTGATTCCTAAAACAGAAAGTGGTTTTGAATTGTTGTATGGAGTTTGCTTGATAGGAAAGCAATTGAATAGCATTTAATAACACCTATAAACAGAGCCAAAAACTTAACCTAATGTGTGATGTTCTTTGATAGTTCAGTGCTTCTATTTGATGTGTGTATTTCAATATTTCAACACCAACTTTTAATTTTATAATGAACTTTTAATAGTTTTTAACTGCAAACAATATCGTTATAACAGTTTTGATGGAGAAGCAAGATCTAAATATAAATCAATAGAAGTGTATTTGTTTTAGACTTGCACATACAGTATTACCTTTAGCTACACAGTGTAGTGTTAAATTGTTTAGGTAATGAATCTAATTAGGCTTTTCAACTTTTTGTTGTGCCCTTTTAATTCTTTTTGCAAATCCAGTGTTAAGGATGCTTTTTTACACAAAAGCCAACTTATTACATTGTCAACACTTCCACCATGGTTAATACCCTCAAATTATTTGCTTTTCTGACTTATGATACCAGAGAGCTGTTTTTGGTACTCTGAAAAGTTCCACCAGAGATTTATGATCTTTGCTTGTGTTAATGAAACTTACTTTATAATAGCAACTGTCCCCTGCTCAACGATATGTAAATTATGAAGTACAATGCAGAGCATAGAAAAACTCAAAAGAAATAGTGCAAGATTGGAAGACGTGGAGACACTTGGCCCATAGAATCATCAAGAGTCGGATATAACTGAATGGATAACATCATCATCTAAAACTAGACTGGAACAAATCAGAAAGTCACTCTATATTAGAGCTGTGGTAGTGCAGTGGTTAGAATGCAGTATTGTAGGCTAATTCTGCCAACTGCCAACAGCTCTATTCTCATCAGCTCAAGGTTGACTCAGCCCTTCCATCCTTCTGAGGTCAGTAAAATGAGGACCCAGATTGTTGGGGGCAATATGCTGTCTCTGTAAACTGCTTAGAGAGGCCTGTAAAGCACTGTGAAGTGGTATATAAGTCTAAGTGCCATTGCTATAATAGCATTGTAAGTTTAATATGCTATCTTCCTTCTCTGACAAGATTTGTTTGAAAAGTAGATCATCACTTTTTAAATTAACTGTAGTAGTATAGTTTTTTTTTCAGTTGTGGATTTGGAGCTATGAAGAGTAAGAGTCGAGGGCAGAATGTGTAGAAAGACAATAATCCTTTTCAGCAGTTCTTACATTTCTACATTCTGATGAGACATCCAATAGAGAGAAAGCAGCTGAATTTCTTGGGATAAAACATATAAGGAACGGTTGCTGGAATTGGGTATGTCTAGTTTAATGAAGAG